CCACTTTCTTCCTCGCACCTGCCCATGTGCGGGGGAGTTCCATTAAGCTGCCTCATCACATTAATACTGGCCCCACCCCCAACAACGTGCCGCTGCAGAACATGTTAACACTGGCTCCCCTCATTTGGCCTGGCTTACCTGTAGCACTTGGGTGGCTTTCTGGGCTGTTGGATTTATAGGGAGAATCACCAGGTGCAAAGAAGGGGAATTATAACCCAGAGACCCTCTGAAAAGCATAGGCTGAAGGCAGGCAGAATGCTGGGTAGGGACAGCAGCCAGATGGGGCCTATGTCAGGCTTGGAACTGGGGACGGAGCAGAATTTGGCATGACCCTGGGAGAAGAAATCCTTTTCTTTGTATTCTGATTCCTCTTATTGCACCTTGTTGTTCTCAGCCCAGTCCCGTAAGGACTGGCAGCCGCTGTCTGATAGCGAAGCTTTTCTCCTCACCCTAACCCCTCCGCCCATGCTCTGTGGTCCCTGTCCTCACTCTATCAGAACAGCCGACAGTGTGATGTGACCGCGCATCAGCTAGTTCTGAAATTTCTTGAGACCCCTGTTCCTACTTGGATGATATACTACCCAAGTCCAGACAATACAAGGGGTTGTCATCGGCCATATTAGAAGCAAGCCTTTCTCCTTTGATGCCTTTTTTTTTTTTTTTTTGTCTCTTTTGGTTTTAATGATTGTTAGTGTGCACAGATGTATGCACACACACTAAAAAGTTGTTTTCCAGAAAATCATGTGGACAGCCAGTTTGGTGGTAATAGTTGCCCTGTGCTAATCAGAGGGGCTGGTTATGCTTAAGGGGCCCAAGAAAGCTCGCTTCGCTTTAGATATTGAGTACATGCAGGAGAGCAAACCAGAGGATGTTTTAAATATGCAAATATCAGAATGTAGGCATGAAAATGGAACAATTGCAATGGTCACATGAAGTAAGACTGACTGGCAAAACTAGAGACCAGGACAGTGCAGCTGTGCCCATTCATCATCTGTGACCCTGGCCACTAGTCCACAAAGCTACTCATAGCTGTACAAGATGGTGACAGTCTTGTAGGGATTTAGGAAATTTATTATTTTAGTGTATTAAACAAATTCTGTCTGCAATGAACTCACGTTTACTCTATAGCACAGTCACAATTTGGCTTACTAAATGTGAGCCTTCAATAGCTCCCCTGAAGCCTTCTGCAGGGAGGGCAATTCCAGGACAGTAAATTTATTCCATTTAAAAAGGAATTCTAAGTCTTTCTCCCACTAGTAAGAGGTTTCAGCATGTGGGTAAGACAGGCACTGTTCCCACCAGTGTGTGTTGCTTCAGAGAGTTGACAGTTGAAATGGCCATGGTGTGAGTGGAAACAAGATTAAAATGCTTGTCTCTGCTCTCTTACATGTCCACCTTTTTCATAAGGGATAATAAGGCTTAGTAGTTTTAGAGTTAATAACCCACCTTGGTGATGGAAAACCTCTGGACAGGATGCAGCTATGAACATTCCATCAAAGGCATTGATTACAGCACTGGACCTGAACCTAGTCCTTGACAAGGACCCTGGCCTCCTAAAGGAGATTGCCACTTCCTACAGACAGCTCCCAGCATGCCCAGCTGGCACTAGGAACTCTCTCCATCTAGTTGCTCATCGCTGTCACTCTGCCACTGTCAAAAGCAGTCACCGTGGACCAGCTGGAGGCATTTGCTCAGAGGAAGTGGTTTGAGTTCCCGATGCAGGAATCCTTTTGGTGGCCTCCCCTTTTCCTCTTGACCCCTTCCCTACCTTCCCTTACCTCTCATTTGCCATTTCCCCCTAAACTTGGGCTTGTCAGCTCTCAAGCAGATCAGAAGCCCAAAGTCCAGAATAGATGATCAGTTCCATTTTTTTTTAAACTACCTAGCTGTTTTTGTTTAAGGCAGTGTAGGCAAGAACAGCTGTGAGCCCAAAGCTGCAAGTTGAAGCAATAGTGCTCAGTGGAGGAAGCAATAGAGGTACCACTTTTAGTTGGTGCCAGTCAGCCAACTGGCCAGTTTGGGCAAGTAGAGAGGGCTCAGAGATCCATTCCTGCCCTAAAGCCTGTCAGCCCTTCTGAGGAAACGTATCTCCAAGTAGACATTAGTTAGGCCATGTTCATAGCAAGTTACCCAGTAGTGCCTGTGTTTATTCGAATATGGTTTTCCATGGGGTGTGTTTTCATTCAGTAGCTTGGCTTCTTCAGTATGCTAGCATCTGCAAGATAGCACCTAAAGCCCTCAGCTAAGGAAACCTTGACACACTGACCATCACCCATGCAGATGGGCTCAACTGTCACTGTGCTGCTCTGGTTCTAGGCTCAGCCTTTCACTTGAAAGGGGAATGTCACCCTAGCCTGTCCTGGGGTACTCACTTCAGTCTCCTCTCCTTCCTCAAACCAAAGACCAGACATTGCAACAGTCCTGCTATTGGCAAAGGAACACTTGATGTCACTCCTTGCTTTTCTCTCCTCCATAGTAACCCTTCAGCCCTTGCTGTTAACTCCGAGGGTATTTACTGCTGTGAAACCTGCATGCATCTCTGTTGTCAGTACATAGTTGTCATGAAAGCCATGTTCCCTCTGCCAGACACTCAAAGCTATCTCACAGACCTTCTAGAGTGTTATAAGTGAGAGTAGTGTCCTAGGCAGTTGGGGATGGTAAAAACTGCAAGAATTAACGTCCAGCAGAGTTTTCTTATCAACTAAGTTATATTTAATCATATTTGTATCAGTCACTAAGTATAAGCTGCCTTTGAAAAATGCATCTCTCTTATGGGTTTTTAAACCTACCCTTGAGCTCTGTGTTTAAGTTACAGGAATCTAGCTTGTACCAATACTGGATTTCATCATAATTAGGGCAGTGAGAACAGAGGGAGAGCCAGTGTATTAAGTGACTACTGAGAATATTGTCATTAGCTGGGTACTTTCCATGAGAGAAGAGAGCCTGGCTTCTTGCCCTTCGGTTGTTGGGAACACTATGACAGTCCTTCCGGAGCACAGTTAATCCTGCTTCACAGCTCGCAGCTTAGTGGCCAGTGTCCACAGCAAGCAGAAGCAATAAGCAAATTCCACCAAATCCGTTTACTATTTTATTGGTAAAGCTAAGGTAAGGAGTTCTCCAGTAATTGTGATTAATAACTAAAGCTACACTGTAGAGGCCGAGACTATAGTTTAGAGGAAAACCTCTTGCCCAGAATATGTGAGGCCTGGGTTCAGTCCCCAGCACAGAGGGAAAAGGACGTTTTACAGATACCTTTTATAGGATTTTTGTATCCTGTGAGCCACGAGGCTCAGATTAGCACCTTGGGTTAGCTAGCTCTCCCTTGCTCTAACTATCTTGCATTCATAGTTTACTGCAACATGTGGACACCTTGTAGACCAGGATAGACTGAGTTTGACAGCAGCACCCTCACAGTGGAAAGAATTCGCAGAGCAGGTGACAGGCTGACTTGCCATGAAAACATAGCAGCTCCAGGCTTCCTTCCCTGGGGGCCACTCTGCCCCACATCATGGTGTCCCCAAGCTCCCTTGTGACTTGCTACCGCACACACATGAGTTTGTAAAGCTTCACATAGTCTGCTCTTACTGTTTGAGAAGTGGCTGTTCGATTTGTGGATCATCCCCTCTATTTTGCCTGTTCTTTTCCACATTTCATTGCTTTTTGGTGCTCCCACTGAAGGGTGAAAACTGTAGAATGAGGAGGTAAAAGTCAAATCTGATTATCCAGCACCTTTGATAAATGCACAGAACAACATGCAGAATCTCCAGAGTTCAGAAATCCTGGGTGCCCTTGCTTGAAAAAAAAAAATGCATATTTGTAGTGCTGACCATCTGGGCTATAAGAGGTTTCTTGGCCTAAGAATTAAGAAGTAACTGCCTCTCAGTCTAAAGGCCTTCATATGTAATCTAAGAGTCACAAAATGATCAATCTAAAAGGAAGGGAGACTCCAGCTGTTTTCAGAACAGCTGTCTTCTTAGCCATGTCTTCCAATGAGTAGTCTGAACTAGAAACATGAAACTGCCAGGACAGCCTTTCTGGGCCTCAGAAGCTCTGACCAAGACATTAGTGCCCCACGACCTCCAATATTGCTATGTGAGCTCCGAACTCTGGCAGAAACTGCTGCCATGGAAGGTACTGCCTGGCTGCCTCGAGCATCATGCTTTTAAAACCCGAGAAACTCCACTCCTAAAGGAACTTTGGTTTTTTAACTTAATTCCAGAGCTTTACTTACTATTTTTTTTAACATTCTGCCAGTCTTTTTAGTTCAAGATCATTGATCTAACCCAAACCCACCAAAAAGCTTTAAGCCTTTTTGATTTCTAAAACTGAAGAATGGAGTTGAGGCCTGGACCAAGCAGAGGCAAGAGAAGCCAACATCTCGGAAGGCAAAGAACCTTGAGTGAGACTCACATCTGCTCAGATTTTATCTTAAACCGTTTGGTAGAGGGAATATAGCTTTCTCTTTCTTCTTGAGCCTGCAAGATCTGCATGCTCAGCTGCTGCCTGAGATAACTGCCTTGCATAGTTGTAAGACTTTCCGTACCATGCTAACCCAAAGGGCAGTGCTCTGATTTTGAACAATTGTGCCTTGTTTTTCAGAGGGGGAATGTGTGTTGAAAGGCTTCTAGTGAGCTTGCAATTGCTCAGATTTCCCTGGGGAAGGAGTGTATTTTGTTAGTTGAGAAGGAGGGAGACTGGACTAAGAGATCATTTTTTCTGGTCCCAGGTTGGTGCTTAGAAAAAAATCAAATTCAACTTGGGCAGGGGAATTTGTGTAAACTGAAATAAAACACAACTTATTAAAATTCACCCAAATATAGTGCAGAGACTTAGACATTTAAGTCCTGCTTATGGGCCTGTCCAGTTACACTATTTGCAAAGTCAGTACAGTGTTTTTCATGCCAGAAAAGCCACAGAAATATCATTCCCCTCCTGGAAACCAAAAGAATGTGCCTCTCCACTTCCAGCCCGCACTGAGCAGCCTCCCCCTTCCAATGCAGGTGGTGGTGAATGCCTTGGTGGGCGCCATCCCCTCCATCATGAATGTGCTGCTGGTGTGTCTCATCTTCTGGCTGATTTTCAGCATCATGGGAGTTAACCTGTTTGCGGGAAAGTATCACTACTGCTTTAATGAGACTTCTGAAATCCGGTTTGAAATTGATATCGTCAACAATAAAACTGATTGTGAAAAGCTCATGGAGGGCAACAACACGGAGATCAGGTGGAAAAATGTGAAGATCAACTTTGACAACGTCGGGGCAGGGTACCTGGCCCTTCTCCAAGTGGTGAGTGCTGCTGCATCAGATCTGGGGCAGGTGGGCTGCCAGCAGAGGTCCCACTAGGTTCCCTCAAAACCCTGCTCCAGAGTCAGGATCACTCTCAGGGTTCTTGACAATGTGTCACTCCCCAGGTCAGTTTCCTGGAGATGCCTTTCCCCTGCCTTCCCTGATCTGACTCAGAATCTGCTCAGCAGCCAATAGAAATGCTGCAGTGGGAAAAGTTGCTACAGCAGTGGTTCTCAGCCTGTGGGCCGAGACCCCCACATAGCAGATATTTGCCAGCAGTAAAATTACAGTTGTGAAGTAGCAACAAAATAATTTTATGGTTGGGGAATCACAGTGATATAAGGAACGGTATTAAATGCTCCCAGCATTAAGAAGGTTGAGAAGCACTGTGCTAAAGGACCATCTTCACTCCCCGAGGCAGTTACAAGGGGAGAAGCTGAATTCAAAGGCCAATTTGGTAGAGTAGGAAGCCCTAGAACAATTATGCCAACGTGTACTAAGGGCCAGTCAGCACTGCCATGCTGCCACCCCTGCAGCTCAGCCCCAGACATGGGTCTCAGGGGAGGGGCTCATTTTGGTGACCCAGCTGCTTTTGCCTGAGTTCATCCTGCCATCTCTAGCCTTCCTGTGCCCTCACCTGATGCTGGGAACGTCTGTTGGATGAGATAGTGTGTTGCAGGGAGAGCTGGTGTGGGGCTAGCACACTCTAATGTGTACTGGATTTGTAACGAGAGAAATTGTTCAACTTCTCTGACCCTTTGATTCTGTTACTGAATATAGATAACACCTTGCTTACTTGTTAAGAGAATTTGTGATTAAAAAATACCTCAGCATAATGCCTAGCACAAAACTAATTAAGGTAATTGTTATTCTGTGTTCTGGTTCCTGTTATTACCATGCCTACATCTTTCAGTTGTTGTGAGTATTAAATGGGATAGTGCAGGAAAAGCTCCCAGCCTAACCTAACCGTGGTGAGCACTCACTGTTAGATTCAATAGAGGGGAAATTAATGAGATGCACTGCACTCATGGGACACCATGATGGCACCTTGGCTGTCCTGTCACAGTCTAACAAGTTGGGGCTCCTTGGGTTTCAGCTGTAACAGAAGATGGACAAGGCCCTGGGTTCCATCCCCAGCATGACAAAATAATTAGGTAGCTAACTAATTAAAAGAAGAAATGGGTTGTGCTCATGGCTAGATTCTGAGCATCTCAGAGAAGCAATGTGCAGCCACCTGCTAACACAAGTGTTCATGCTCCATGTGCATGGGACTGTGTGCAGGCCATCCGTGTGCTTATAGATGATCCACTGAGTAAAGCAGCCCCCAAAGCCTGGAATCTGGTGAGCATAGCAAAGCTAGAGACTGCTAAACTGACTTTCATGTCTTATATGTCAGGCCAGCTCTGGCAGACTGACTGAAGGCTAAGAGAAGGCTACCAAGGAGAAGCCAGGCCCAGGGCTGCAGGTCCCAAGCCTATGGGTTTGTCTATTTAATGCATCTGTGAGTTTTTCAGGCCCTTAACACTTATTGAACTCCTTGTTAAAGAGTGGCTTCTTGGTGAAGGTCCAAGCACTCCAATGGACTCCTAAGTTCATCACATGGCTCATCTGTTGTCACTGTAGGCTCCACTCTCAGACCCTATAGTTAAGTGTTAGTGCAGTCATTGCTGCATATGTCTTCACTAGCTTTGGTGGTATTTTCAGGTACTCTTAAAGTGTCTTTGGACTCTTTCTTGATTCAGTGAGTCCTGTGTCAATGTACACTGTACCATCCTGTATTCTCGCCCAACTTAAGCCTGGCCTTTAGGACCCTGCCTTGACTCCAACCACTACATAACAGGCACAGTCTAATGACTGACTCTGTTTCCCAGGCAACCTTCAAAGGCTGGATGGACATCATGTACGCAGCTGTAGATTCCCGAAAGGTAAGGGCACACATGGTAAAATGTGACCAGCTTAAATGATAGAAAGAAACTGCATGGTAGATCCGTCAGGGACAAGGAAGAGGAAAGGACCCGTAGTGTCTCTCTGGACACCAGCTGCCTGTCATGTTGACTGTAGATCTTTTTCCTTCTCACACATTGGCTCTCCACGTCCAGACCCTGCTGTTCACTTGACCCTGGTGGCAGCGACTATCCTCTGTCCTTCCTCACTGCCTCTCCCTTGCTTCCCTGCTCTTTAGCCCCAGAAGTGACAATGCCCTTGAAGGACAGGTGGGCCAGGGGAGAGCAGAGAGAACCTGCAGCTTCCACCCCAGCTTGGCAGCCACATGAAGGGAGAGTAAGGCTGGTAGCTTTGGCATGTTGGAGTCAGCCCCAGTCCCAACAACCCCGGGGACAGGAACTGACTTGAGTGCCTCTTTGCCACCTTCCGCAGCCTGATGAGCAGCCTAAATACGAGGACAACATCTACATGTACATCTACTTCGTCATCTTCATCATCTTCGGCTCCTTCTTCACCCTCAACCTGTTCATTGGTGTCATCATTGATAACTTCAATCAACAAAAGAAAAAGATAGGTCTCCTCCCCACATTGCCAGTGGTCAGAGGTCAACCCAGATGAGAGGCACACTGGCCTTGTCTCTAGGGAGACTCTATCTTCCTCTAAAACTCAGACTGCTACCTCATGGTAGCACTGGCCCTGGTATCCCGGCAGCAACCCCTTTTGTTTGGGGCTGCACTTGGCAGTGTGTGGCTAACCACATTTCCCTGAGATCTCACATTCCTGAGGCCACTATTGTTAGAGCTTTCTACCAGAGGGAGGGACAAAAGAAGCAGATAGTGCTATGGTGAGAAACAGAAGTAGTCATGGTGGGATTTCAAGGCAACCCTCAGAGGGTTCCTTTCATCACTTGTCCCACATGGGTAGTGATTCTTCCAAAGCAAACTGGATGACAGATTTACTCTTGTGCATAAGTTCAGTGAGTTAAGAGAACCACATGGTCCAATTTTTTAAGTTCATAAAAAGCAAGTGCACCATTTTTGGCACTCAAAAATCTTGTTTTTAAATATTTGGAGGAGGGGGGTGCTGGGCATGGCAGTGCACACCTTTAATACCAGTATTCAGGAGGTAGAGGCAGGCAAATAGATCTCTCTTCATAGTTCCAGGCCATACAGGATTACATAGTGAGACTCTTAAAACAAAAGCAAACAAACAAACAAATACATGTTTTCCCCTTGATGTGGCTATCTTCTGGTCCCTTGCTCTCCACTTCTGCCCTGAGAGGCTGAAGTCGAACAGTCCCATCTCACTGTGTGGCCTGGAAGATCTCAGACACCCAAGCTGGAGTAATTGCCCAGGAGTGCTCCCTGCAGGAGAGCTCCCCCACCAACCTGACCTCTAGAGGGAGAGCCTCTCCATTCTCGGTGCTGGACCTAGATGCTCAGTTGCACCACCAGAGCCAGTTGTAATTGTCCTTTCTTCATCCTTTCTTTACTTTGGAGGTCAAGACATCTTCATGACAGAGGAACAGAAGAAGTACTACAATGCCATGAAGAAACTGGGCTCCAAAAAACCCCAGAAGCCCATTCCCCGCCCTTTGGTAAGAACACTGGCCAAATATAGTTGGTTTTTCACTCTGAGGGCCTGCCACCCAGTTCCCAAATAAATACAGGGAGACTTATACTTACTTATGAGTGCCTGGCCTTAGCTTGGCTTGTTTCTAGCCAGCTTTTCTAACTTAAATTATCCCATTTCTCTTTAACTATGTTTTGCCTCTGGGCTTTTCACCTTCCTTTATTCTATATGTCTTTCTTTCCTTCTTACTCTGTGGCTGGCTGGGTGGCTGGGTGGCTGGGCCCTAGTGTCCTCCTCTCCTCCTTTTCTTGCTCCTCATTCTTCCCTAGATTTCTCCTCCTATTTATTCTCTCTGCCTGCCAGCCCCACCTATTCTTTCTGCCTAGCTATTGGTCGTTCAGCTCTTTATTAGATCAATCAGGTGTTTTAGGCAGGCAAAGTAACACAGCTTCACAGTTAAACAAATGCAACATAAAAGAACGCAACCCGACAAGCGGTGGCACACGCCTTTCATCCCAGCACTCGGGAGGCAGAGGCAGGCGGATCTCTGTGGGTTCAAAAACAGCCTGGGCCACACAGGGAGGGCCCGGAGAGGGTCCCCAAGCACAGGGAAACCCTGTCTCGAAAAAAAAAAAAAAGAAAGAAAAAAAAAAAGAACGCAGCCCATGTTTGTGTCATTAAGCAAATATCCCTCACCTTAAGCAAATGAAGCATGTCTTGAGCTAATATTCTCCCGTCTCTCCTTCGCAGAACAAAATCCAAGGGATCGTCTTTGATTTTGTCACTCAGCAAGCCTTTGACATTGTCATCATGATGCTCATCTGCCTTAACATGGTGACAATGATGGTGGAGACAGACACCCAAAGCAAGCAGATGGAGAACATTCTCTACTGGATTAATCTGGTCTTCGTCATCTTCTTCACCTGCGAGTGTGTACTCAAAATGTTTGCCTTGAGGCACTACTACTTCACCATCGGCTGGAACATCTTTGTCTTTGTGGTGGTCATCCTCTCCATTGTGGGTGAGTGGGCAGGGCCAGCAGAGGGACAAGGGGGTGAATTTAGGGTGAGCAGGTGCCTCTCAGATCCCACCCCATTGTACTCCTCAGTCTTCTCGCAGACCTGCCTGGCAGGGCGCATGGGTAGTGTTTCCACTGAGTGCTCCCAGCCCTCTTGGGTGTAAATGCTGCAGCCCAGAGGCAGGAGATGAAATCTGATTTGCTTTCAAGGGATTCAACATCTACCAGGAAAAGCAAAAGAAACTTGTTTTTTAAATGTGGCAATGGCCTGGAGAGATGGCTCAGCTGGTAAAATGATTTGCTGTATATCTTCACTAGGGTTTCTATTAACATGATGAAACACCATGACCAAAAGCAATCTGGGGAGAAAAGGGTTTGTTTCCCTCAGTTCCATATAACAGTTCATCATCAGAAACAGTGAGGGCAGGAACTCAAGCAGGGCAGGATCCCAGAGGAAAGAGCTGATGCAGAGGCCATGGATGGTGTTGCTTACTGGCTTGCACCCCATGGTTGCTCAGCCAGCTTTCTTATAGAACCAAGGACCATCAGCCCAGGGATGGCCTCACCCAGGCCAGCTGGGCTCTCCCCCATCAATCACTAAGTAAGAAATGCCCTACAAGCTTGCCTACAGCCCCATCTAATGGAGATATATTCTCAATTGAGGCTCACTCCTTTCTGATAACTAGTTCATGTGTCAAGTTGACATAAAACTAACCAGTCCACTGTACAAGCATGAGGACCTGATTTTGATCACCAGAACCCATGTTGTGGACATGGTATACACAGTTACAATCCCTTCACTGGGGAGGCAGAGACAGGCAGACCCCTTGAGCTCACTGGCTGGCCAGCATAGCCCACTTGGTGGGTTGTAGGCCAGTGAGAGACCCTGTCTCAAAAAACAAGGTTGATAGCACCTAAGAAATGACACCCAAGGTTGACCTCTGTGATACATACATGCAGGCATGGCTGTCGTGAAGTATGAAGTGATCAAAGTGTGGCTAAGATTAAGACAGTAACTGAATTACCTAAGCACATTCTGGAGGCTATGGTCACAGAGCTGCTGTCATTGCCAGTAGTACTGGCTACATAGATGTCACTGTGGGCAAGAGTAGCTGCAAAGTCACCCCCCCCCCAAGTTGTCTCATTGGGACCTCACAGCTGCACCAGAGCCAGGCTGTCTTACCTTCCCTGATCGGCTTGTTTACCTGGGCGGTGGCAGAAGCAGAACTCAAGTTGGTCCCAAAGTTCATGTTTCCTTCAGCCTAAAAACAAAGCAGGGTTGAAGTTCTAGCGAGTGAAGAAGTCCTCAGGTGATGTCTCCTTCTTGAAAGGTACCCCAAGTGCTATGTCCATGCCTTGGTTCCAGGTAAGAGTACCCGAAAACCATGGGAGCTAGTCCCAGAGCATCACTGAGCATACCCTGTTTTTGGAGGTCAATGATTGTGGGTACCACAAGGCAGATAGCCTCCTCTTAGCCCATGTCACCTTCTAATTTTGTCCAAAAATGTGTTGGCATGTGGAACACAGAGTCTTGGGACATTTTTTCCCCAAGAAAAGAATCCCTAAGCTAAATTATTGGACAAAGATGTCCCTCTTGAAAGTCACTGTGTGCATTCACCTTCTGCAATAAACCTCCAGTGAGTTAGGCAGTTTGGGTTCCCATGCTGTCCACTTCTTCATTTGTTTTTAAAAACTAACTTATGTCAGGGCATGTTAGTGTACACCTTTTAACCCTGGAACTCTGGAGGCAGAAGCAGGCAGATGTCTGTAAGTTCAAAGCCAGCCTGTTCTATGTGGCAGGTTCCAGGACAGCCAGCGCTATATAATGAGACCCTGTCTTAAACAAACAAAAAAAACAACTTATTTATGTTTGTTTTGCTTGCATATGTATATATGCACCACGTGTGTGTCTGGTGCTTGTGTTGGATCCCTGGAACTGCAGTTCCAAGTGGTTGTGAACCACCGATGTGGGTTCTGGGTACCAAACCCAGGTCCTCTGCAAGAGCAGCAAGTGCTCTTAACCTCTCCAGACCCTATACTGCCCACTTTTATTAGACTGAAGCATCCTGTGCAGATAATAAAGGTAGCTCACATCTTAATGGAACATGCTGCCGGCCATGGCCATTCTGATGTTGATTGACATAATCTCTGAAGAAGTCTCAAGAGTGAAGGGAACTGAGGCACAGAGAGGTTCCCAAGACATGTGGCTGGTAAGTGAGTATTCAAATAGGAGTAAAGGCCAGCTTTGGCCTAAGTCCATGTTCCCAGCTTCCCTTGCCTACTACTGTATGAGAACTTTTACTAAATGAGATAGAAAGTCCAGTCAAGCCATACCCCCATGCTGTGTCGTCCTCTAAGACAGTGATATTGAGGCTTTTGATGTGGAAATTTTTATCAACTGCTAATCTATTCAGAAAGGAAAAATCATAGAAATTCTCTTCTGAAAGTAAAAGGAAGGCCAGCGAGATGGCTCAATGGGTAAAGGCACTTGCTGCCAAGCCTGGTGACCTGAGCTTCATCCTTAGGACCCACTTGGTGGAAGGAGAGTCCTCTGACCTTCACATAAGTGTCATGTATATACACACACAACAATAGTAAAATGTACTAAAAATGTATTTTCATGTAAGATGAGTTAAAGTAAATTGGTCTGTGAAGAACCTAGAACGCCCTTTTCATGGTTCCACTGTGGACAAGCACTCATCCTTCAAGCCTTTGTTCAAGTGCGGTAGGCTCTCTTTCATTACATGACTGAGAAGCAAAGGCAAAGCAAGAGGAAGTCTGAGGTCCTAGGGCCAGCACCAGGCAATCAATCAATCATAGCTTCTAAGAAGGAGCATAACTGTCACTCTCCAGGCTCACCCTCCTTCTCTTCCTGGAAGGCAAGATTCTTTCCTGGCTTTTCTTTTTAAATTTATTTTATGTGTTTTGCCTACATGTATATACATGCACCACATGTTTGACTGGTATCCAAGGAGGTCAGAAGAAGATGTCAAATTCCCCAGAATTGAAATTGCAGACAGTTGTGAGCTGCCATGTGGGTGCTGAGTATTGAACCCTGGTCCATTGGAAGAGCAATAAGTGCTCTTAACCACTGAGCCATCTCTCCTATCCCAGGTTTTATTTTATTATTTTGTGGTGGGTATTCTGTGTGCATGTATGGCTGTGCACCACATACGTGTAATACCCTGGAGGCCAATCCCCTAGAACTGGAGTTATAGATGGTTATAAGCCATCATATGGGTGCTTATATGTGTCAAATCTGTGTCTTCTGCATGAACAACAAAGGCTCTTAACCACTGCACCATCTCTCTAGCCTCTTTTCTGGCTTAAAACCTTCAAATGAGAGATTCTTGAGCTCTCTGCAGCTGGAGTGACAATACTCACAAATACTCATGGGTAAGAGATACTTCACTAGCTAAAAAGCTTTGTGTAAGTGGATGCTCATCCATCTCCTTAGCATGCAGAAGGCAGCGAGTAGCATTGCATGTAGAGAGCGGCCCTGCGTCCTTCAGCTCTCACTTCCAGCCCTTCCATCTCCCTTCCTTCTGTGGCCTTCCTTGGACTCCACTATGTTGCTCTTTAATTTTAAGTGGTCTGCTTGAAATGGGTCTGCATGGGAGTGGAAATAGAAACGGCATCCAGTTGTCCATTTCACCTCCACTTCTGCATCCAGCTCCTGCTGGCATTTTACCCACTTTGAAACTGGTTTCTGTTTTACACCTTTCAGCTCAAAAGCTCAGAGCACCAAGTAGAAGGCCACCCTGGACAGCCCCCTTTAATCTCTGAGGCTAACTCACTCACTCAAGAGGAGATGGGGGATGAGAAACAAACCAAGAATAAGATACGTTGAAAATGTGTAGCATTGGCAGAATAATTAGGATGTGAAAATCAAAGGGCACTATGTCACAGGGGGGAACTGGGTCTTCTCGTAGTTTAGAAACCCTGGTGGCATCAGAGAGAGCTTTCAAAAAGCTGTGTGTGCACGCGCTGAACCGACAGAAAACAAAGTTCTGCTTTGTTCTAGTCACAGGACGGGAAAATGTAAAGACACTTTAATCTGAGGGACCAGTCTTGCAGACAAAAAAAGAAAATGAACATCTTAAGTATGTATGTGTAGAAAGATAGTCCTGTATCATTTCCTAAACATAGAGGACACTGATTATTTATGAACTCATACATAGTAAAACTGTAAAACCACTAGAGCCATTGAGGCTTATGGGTCCTCTAGGGCTAAGTGCTGGCTACTGTTAAAGTTGCTAATTGAGTACAGTTTCTGTGGTAGTTTTCTCTACTTTTCTGTGTGTTTAGGGTACATAATTATTTTACTATGAGCATTCTACTGTAATAAAAGGCACTCATTCTGCATGTCCTTGAACTTCTGTGTTTCAGAATGCCAGGTAAGAAGAGGGACGGGTGTCTCTGACCTGAGTAATTGAGTCCTCTCTTCCTCCTTTAGGAATGTTCCTGGCTGATATCATCGAGAAATACTTTGTTTCCCCAACCCTATTCCGAGTCATCCGATTGGCCCGCATTGGGCGCATCTTGCGTCTGATCAAAGGTGCCAAAGGGATTCGTACCCTGCTCTTTGCCTTAATGATGTCATTACCTGCCCTCTTCAACATTGGCCTTCTGCTCTTCCTGGTCATGTTTATCTTCTCCATCTTTGGGATGTCCAATTTCGCATATGTGAAGCACGAGGCTGGCATTGATGACATGTTCAACTTCGAGACATTTGGCAACAGCATGATCTGCCTATTTCAGATCACAACCTCGGCTGGTTGGGACGGCCTACTGCTGCCAATCCTAAACCGCCCCCCTGACTGCAGCCTAGACAAGGAACACCCAGGGAGTGGCTTCAAAGGTGACTGTGGGAACCCCTCCGTGGGCATCTTCTTCTTTGTCAGCTACATCATCATCTCCTTCCTGATCGTGGTGAACATGTACATTGCCATCATCCTGGAGAACTTCAGTGTGGCCACAGAAGAGAGCGCTGATCCACTGAGCGAGGATGACTTTGAGACTTTTTATGAGATCTGGGAGAAGTTTGACCCTGACGCCACCCAGTTCATCGAGTACTGTAAGCTGGCAGACTTTGCAGATGCTCTGGAGCATCCTCTCCGAGTGCCCAAGCCCAACACCATCGAGCTCATCGCCATGGACCTGCCCATGGTAAGCGGGGATCGCATCCACTGCTTGGACATCCTTTTCGCCTTCACCAAGCGGGTCCTGGGAGACAGTGGGGAGTTGGACATCCTGCGGCAGCAGATGGAGGAGCGGTTCGTGGCATCCAATCCTTCCAAAGTGTCTTACGAGCCTATCACAACCACTCTGCGGCGCAAGCAGGAAGAAGTGTCCGCGGTGGTCCTGCAGCGTGCCTACAGGGGACATTTGGCTAGGCGGGGCTTCATCTGCAGAAAGATCACTTCCAGTAAGCTGGAGAACGGAGGTACACACCGGGAGAAAAAGGAAAGCACCCCATCCACGGCCTCCCTCCCCTCTTACGACAGCGTAACTAAACCTGACAAAGAGAAGCAGCAACGGGCAGAGGAAGGAAGAAGGGAAAGAGCCAAGAGGCAAAAAGAAGTCAGAGAGTCCAAGTGTTAGAGGACATCTAGAAGGGAAGCTTACACTGGCTTAACAAAGACAAGTGAAAGCTTGTTTACAAACTTCCGCACCTCATGGATGCAGAGCAGCTGTGGAGACGCTGTACTGGAAGACCTATACCAAACATAGTCTGCTTACATGTGACACAGTTGCATCTTGTGCAGTGACCTGCCGAGGACAAAGGACCCTGCCCCTGGACTCAAGATTTTCTATCGCTTGGGCCGGTGGTTACTGCATGTTCCACACTCAGTCAATGCAACTTAGGACTACACAACAGGATACAAAACAGAGGTGGCTGCGGGACCAGCAGATTGCCATCGCAGCCAAACGGATTTTATTTTTTCATTTGTTGATTCTAGAAGCAGAGAGCATCCCTTTAAAAGTTTGTTTGTTCATGCAAACAATATTTGCATTCTTACATTAGTTAAGCTAAGCAGCAAAAAGAAACACACACACACACACACACACACACACACACACACACACACACATTCAGCCTATGTCACTAATTGTCTATTTCTTTGACATAAACAGCATCTTCTCCACATGGGCGTCACGTGGTTTGGAGATGGGTGGGGGAAACAATCAGGTTTTTTCAGGCTGAGGAGGACTTGCTCAGGCCAATTCCAAATATTGTGCTCGTTCAATGCGTAGAAATGATTTGCATGATGGCATGCTTTGATCAGGAGTCATGCATGAGATCCATACACCACAAGACACTATTAATCCTGTCCCCTGCATTGGGTCAGCCTTTGGACGGGACCCAACCCTGCACCGTTCACTGTATTTGGAGAAATGGTAAGAGTTCCATACCGGCTGCAATTCTTTCTGAGTTCTAAGAAGTCTTTCATACACCTCCAGGTAGGGAAACATAACTAACCAATTGACCACCACCAACAACAGAAACAATCCAACCCAACAAGCAGATGGATCCGTTGTGTGTACATGTTTAACAGACATCTCAACATACAGCCATTGTTGCACATTTTGCAAGGTAAACTATCTAATGCTGCTCTGTCCAGTACATGGGGAGACTTTGGCCCCGAATGGCTTGTACTATTAATGTCACTGTAAAACCAAATCCTAGGGCTAAAAAAAAAAAACAAAAAACAAAAAACAAAAAACAAACAGAAAAAGAGTTCATTTGTATCTTGCAATATTCAAAAAAACAAAAAACAAACAGAAAAAGAGTTCATTTGTATCTTGCAATATTATAATGATTGTTTAGCCTTCATCCTGGAGAACTGACACTTGGGTTAGAGATAAAAGTGCTATTTATTCATAGTAGCATGTTATCTCTAGGAGGCCTTTGGGGGGACTTACAGAAACCTTTCTCTGGGGGTTATGGGGTGCTCACTTCATTTGGTGTCATGTCTGTCCACATTGTGGCTTTTCTCAGGCTCAGGTAGATGTGGAAGGGGTTCAGGTATTCTGAACCTGCAGAGGGACTGTCACTCGCTCCCATCTGCTGGTTCTTCCTGCCTCCATCACATTCCTCCAGCTAGCAGGGCTTCCCTTCCCAGCTGTCCAGGGCTGGGTACGGGCAGCAGTGTTGCTTGGGGTATGGCTGTGGGCTCTTCTGTTTGTGATCTTCAGAATATTGGTCACTAGCAGGACCTGAGGTAGAGGTGGAGCCACCTCTGGGCCGAGCCCTCTTGGTCTTGTTAGGGCGCTGGCTTTTGTGAGAAAGGGACTCTGTATTAATTCCTTTGGGTGTTGCAGCTTCCCTGGCATTTCCTTTCTGTCCACCTTGCTTTCTACTTAGTGGCCTGCCCACTGTTGTAGGGGGAATAACTTCTGGGGGAGCGCCATACCTTCCATTCCTTCTCCAGCTTTACAGAAGACAGCTCTTAGTCCAGGGTGTCTCACCTGACCACAAGGTTCCAAAGCCAAGATGCCACACTTGAGTGTCAGAAAGTCTCTTGGAACCAAGTCAGCATCATCCTTCCTGAGCGTAGAGTAGAGGGAAGCGAGCCATCCACCACCAGACACATTAGACCAATCTGCCTTGCAGTAGAAGCACTTTGGATGTAATCTCACAGTCCACTTGACTAGTTTTGCTTAGAACAAACCACAGCCAGTCAGTGAGCAGAGCTTTCTCTCTTGTTGGACCGGGAGACACTGTCCAGCTGTCCTCAGCTTGCCGAGACCAGCTGGGGAAGTGCGTCGGTGCCACTGCTGCTAGGACGAACGTCAAGAACCACGTACAGGCAATGTTGTAAACAGCACAAAACAGAAGCTGACATGTGTGGTTATTCTTTTTAAGAGAATTATAAATACTGTAATATATAATTTTATTTTACTGGCATGCCTTTTTGTAAATACAAATTACTACTTATTAAATAGGAAATGGCTTCTGGCTTATGCCATTGTCATGTTTATTTTTATTTTTTATACTTTCCTTTCTTCTTAGAACCAGATGCTGTCAGCCAATGTATACCCCAACCAGACAGACAGACAAAAAATTTTTTATTGCTAATGGTCTTTTCCAAAACAACAAAAAATATATATATTTTTGTTCCAATGTGCAATAAATTCTAACCACTTCTATGCAAGATTTGGCTAAACTTAATCATTGATCTTAGATCTTGAGATGGGCAACAGCTATTTGATCCTGCTAAGAACACCAAGCGCCATGCTAGTAATGTTGTTAAGCTAAGAGCCTAGCTCTCCTGACCCAGCTGTTACCTCCCTCCTGTATCTCACACCCTCCCAGAGCTTCCGGGATGAAGCCACCTCAGCCCACTGATTAGACCTCTCTACCTGTTGCCCTCACCCTCCTTCCCTCCCTGTAGCCACTCCCCCTTGCTCTCTCACCATCCTGCTCCACACTTTTTCTTGTAAACCACACCATCACCAGCAGTTCACACCCGCAGTTAATAGGCATTGAACCTAAAGAATTGGATATGGCAGTTTTTGGTTGGTTTCCTTTTGTTCTGTTTCGTGTCCTCACAGACTGAGCAAGTGGCAGCGCTTTGCCAAATATTCATGAAGCCCATCAATCAAAGAGCAGCAGCAGCAGCCAGTACCACTGCACATATATATATAGATATATAAATATAATACAAATATTTATTTTTTTGTAGCCGGGTCGTTGGTGCAGTATTTATATTCCACAGTCCTCCTTTAAAAATAAAATTAAAAAGACAAAAAGCAAAAAGTCATGTGATGCTGTTCATTTAAAAACGCAGAGCCAAAGCCCCTGAGCAGTAGCCACCATGACTGCTGGTTGTGTGAAAACACCCCCTCTTCCTTAACTTCCCTGTGGCTTAGGGTGAGGAGACTGGAACCAGAGCAGAGGGTGAGAGCAGGGAAACGTTCCAAGTCCATGTGGCCTGCTCTTACCATCTGGACACAAGCCACTTGGGCATCTGAAGCTGTGGGCCGAGAGTAACAAGCTCCGCATCAGGGCCCCTGGAGCTGCCGCGCCCAAAGGGCTTCTTTCATTTTGTCTCCACAACCAATGTAAACTGTAAAAGACCAATAGAGTGTTAGTGAATGCATGGAGGCCAACGCTGCGCTAAACAAGACGTGATTTTTTTTAAAAGTCAATTACTATAAGCCAAAAGGAAACAAAATAAAAATGACCCTTTTTACCACACAAGGGAAGCCTGTCTTGGTGTGTGTCTGTTGTTTGACTTGCCCATTCTCGAGTTCTGGGAAGGGTCTGGGAACTGGGACCCTGAAGCATTTGGGAAGAGGAGACCAGAGCTAGGTGAGACTGCAGAGAAAAGCCAGGTAGCCTTCCCCAGATCCTTGCTGCCGCTGCATTTGGCATTACCCCTTAGGCTGGAGCCCTCCCTCCGTTGTCTCCCCCAGCACAGCCCCCAGAGATGACCTCAAATAACCCAGCTGGACTGGCCTTACTTCTGCCTTGTTCATGGAAATGACTTAAGAAAAAACCACTCCCATCCCCCAAAGCTAGTGCAAGCACGCTGCCCAGCAGCTTCCCCTCCACTAGCTAGTGCTGGGTCATACCCTCCATCCACTCCCATAATCCCAGACCGGGGCTGTCCCCTTCACATTTGTGCAGGGGAGGGGGCACCCCTTGGGGACATCCCTCTCCAGGCCGTGTCTCCTGGTCTAGGGACACTCAGAGGGTCTTGAAGTGCCCACTCTAGTAGCTGAACTGGAGAGAGATGGCTGGTAGGTCAGTCCCCATCCTTGTCCCTCAGCCCCAACCTCCAGGCCTTCTGTGGAGGGTTAGGACTCAGTGACTTGAGTCCTGGGCATCTTCCCTAACGATGCCTCTTTCTTTTCTCAGATGTTGCCCAAAGTTTTGCAAAAAGCTTCGTTCATTTTCAGGTACTCCCCCACCCCCTAAAGAATCAGCTGCCGCCAGTCAGTGGGGGGCGGGAGGGGAGGCGTCGGGAGAAGAGGAAGTCTGGGTGTGAGGCCAAGACTTGCATCATGGCTAGTGTAGCCTGGACCCACTTCTCAAGACTTCCTCCGTTAAAACACTCCTGAGGCGCCCCTGCCCCTGACCCCACTGCTGTTTGCTGTACATAGAGGCTAAGTGGGGCCAAGTGGGCAGGTGTGCACATGTGGTGTGTGTGTGTGTGTGTGAAGAATGTACATAGGTAAAGGGGAGTGTGGTCCAGTGGTTCCAGAAGAGGGACAGAACTGTGTTCCATCCCTAGCTTGACCACTGGCTCGCTGTGTGGCCTTGGGCAAGTCACTTAACCTCTCTGTGCCTCAGTTTCCCCATCTGTAAAATGGGGGTAATAATACTGACCTACCTCACAGGGGTGTTGTGAGGCTTTAACTAGATGTTTTGTAAAGCGTTCTGAGATAGAGACCAAGGCGCCAGGGAAGGGCAAAGCATACTTTGGACTTGAGGAAGATGAAATAGTACCATAAACGCTGCTATTCTGAGAGCCATTTTAAACTGCACCGCTCCACTCCCCTCCTCCGCTTCTCATCGCCAGGACAGCAGGTCGAGAAATGTCTTTCCTTGCACTTGCTTCTGGGGTTTGTGATTCTATTTTTTCCCCCCTTGCTGTATCTCCTTCCTTAACCCCTTGACTCGTCCCCCGTTTTGTTTATGCGGAAATGGCAGAAATGCTTGAGAAATGAGAATGTGTAAGTGGATTGGAAGTTTATAGTCTGAATTTTCAATTTTACTTTGTACTGTACATCTTTTTACTTTAGAATTTGCAATAAAGGGTTACGTCAATCTTGTTTTCAACTCTCCTCTTGGACTGGCTTGTCAATCTGTCAAGGTTTTCGCCCCAAACCCCTGTCCCTGGCACTGCTTGGCTCTCCAGGGCTTGACTCATTCCTCCGTGGTGTGTGGGAAAGTGTCAGGTCCCAGCTGGGCCTTGAGGAGTGACTGAGTGGCTCTGCACACTCCAGCAGGGTCCCGAGCTCCTTCCTGCACTGGCACTGGCCTCTGCAGTAGACTTGCCAGTCAGCTCTGGGGTCAAGAGATCGATTGCGCCCCGCCCCATAAGGAGTGGTGAGCATCATCCTGTCACCGAATGGATACAGAAGTGTATCTAAAAGTGTGGTAGGGGTGGGGGGTGGGGGTGGAGGAGAAAGGAG